AGAATATTATAACTGTCTAGGCATGAAGAAATGTAATGACAAGCAATACATGCAAAGTTATTTATAGTATGGAATACTAAGTCTGGTTAAAGACCATATGGGATTCACGCAGTCAAGGTATTCACCGAATAAAGAAATGGTAGAGCAGGAGGTCGGTGGTGGTCCCGATGAACCGATAACTAAATGCTTGCCGCCACGGATGTAGCCGGTGTACTGGGAGGAGCCGCCAAGACGAGGAGCAAGAAGAAGAAGCAGCAGAATCAGCAGGTAAAAGTGCACAGAGGGAGTTGCTGATGAAGCCATTGCTCCTCTATGCAAGCTGTATCGTCGTAGTACACAATACGATCAGGATGCGCTGCCGTATATATACACATAGGGTGCGATTGCAAGCATAAGCATGCTCAATTCTCCTTTGTAGAGTGTTGTCGTGAGCTCATGGCATCTTCTCATCCTTGTGAATGGCATCTCCCTTATTTTATGTTTTCCTCTTTCAGCCGAACGCTCCAGACAGAACAATTGATAAGAACGAAACAAGACTTGTGCCTATGGAAAAGTCGCACGATATATAGGAATTAACGCCCGCCTGTGCCGAAGTTACAGCGAAATTACGAGAAGAAACAAAGGCATTAAAAACTCCTCCGTGTCATATCTACAGCTGACAATCTGTGCGACCAAAACGTGTGTCAACCGATCAACCACGACAGTCACACCGAGACGATTATATGAGACTTCTATTTTGTGTGACGCCATTTTCACCATCAAAACTTTGCCAGAAAAGATGATATAGCACAGCTGCACTATAGACATCGATTAGATGTTCACTGTCTCCTGGTGCTAGATTGATCAACAATAACTAGAGGACGTGGCTAAAATCTGAGGACAGAGCGACTCTTCTCTTCTCTTCTACTTTCTCTGCAAATAAAATAAAATATAAGAGTATTTAGATCACAAAAGTAGTGATGTAAACGTTCTTAGGGCATCTCCAACGCTGACCCGTAAATTTGCTTCGGCATCCTTTCGTGGACAGGGGGGTCAGTTCGTAGACACGGATGAGGGGGGCGGCCATCCAACGCTGCACGCATACAATTCAAACCGCATTTCAATAGACCGAACGAAATCCATGCAAAGCCGACGGAATTCATCAAAGTTCGGATGTAAAATAGTACAAATCATTCATACATCACACGCAAATAAGTCTAGTACAACAATAGTTAAAATTGAACTAGATTAACCAGATGATGAACAAGTTTTTCATCCACGGATCATGTCATCCCACACCTACTGCCCCAGCTTCATCCAACAGGGTATGTACCTAAATAATGGTCGTCCGTCTGTCCTATGGTACATCATGGCAGCACGTACAAACTACACAACGTGTAGAGAAACAACCAGTGAATGAATGATTCAATCGACAAGTTGAGCAAGAAGTAAAGCTTACGATCTTCTCCCCTGCCACGCGCAATGGCCAAATTGCCCCCAGCAAAGCAACCGTGTCACAAGACTTGATGACGGTGGTCTGGATGGCGTACCATGGATACAATAATGACCTCATATTTCGTTGTTGGATGATGTGCATATCGTAGGGCACAATGTGCTTTCACACGTGAAACGAATCATGCACGCGCCGCCAGAAGAGCCCCATTCTGTGCATGCCTATGAAATCCGTTCATATGGCCAACCATGCATTGCACAACCCTCATTTTCCATGCTCGAGTACCTTGAGATCCTTCGTACTCTAAAATAACGACATGCCATTCGAAAATTAGCTCAATGACATTTGACCGAACACCTGCCGGGTGTAGTGTCCCTCATTTTCTACTATTGAAAGTATAAATATTTTTCTCATATTCAGGAAATATTTAGAAGAGGATATGAAACATTTCAAATGTATGAACATTCATATTAAGGTACATAAAGTTCCAATTTTCTGCAATATATGAACTGTTTCCGTTTAAAATTAGTATTGTTGGTATTTTTAAAATCTATTACATGTAAATAATACGTTTCAAGATAAACATATACTATGTGTGAATGGTTCATCTCAGTGGTTAGCGGCTTATATAATAGTGCCTACTCCTTAGAGGTGAAGATTAGAGCATCTCCAGCCGTTCGGCCCCCCAGGATGCATAAAAATCGCCCCCTGGGGGTGAGCAGGCGATGCAATCGGCGCTGGGGGCGGTTTCGCGCTCAGTCGTCGCCCCCTGACACCGAAATTGGCCCACTTTTCAGCCCCATTTCGGCGAATAAAGGGCCCATATTCGGCGTGGTTCGCCGTTGTTCGGCGTTCAATTATGCACATAAATTTTTTTATCACATATTTCATCACAAAAATATCAAATACTTCAACAAAATAGTACAACAACAAATAATTTAATAAAATTATATAGTTCAACAAATAAAAACTCATATTTCATCACACGTCGCGCCCGGCGTCACCCTTGAGCCTCCATAGATGCTTTATCAGATCTTGCTGCAGTTGATGATGCACCTGTGGTTCTCGGATCTCCTGACGCATACTGAGATAGGCAGTCCAGGTTGCCGTTTGCTGGTGATCAACTTCGGCTAGAGGACCCTGCCTGTAGTATGATTCAGTGTCAAACACTGGGTCTTCTTGCTCGCTCTCGATGATCATGTTGTGCAAGATGACACAGCAAGTCATAATCTCCCACATTTGATCTTTCAACCAAGTCTGAGCGGGGTACCAGACAACAGCAAATCGAGATTGGAGCACACCAAATGCCCGCTCAACATGCTTCCTGCAAGCCTCCTGAACCTTCGCAAACCAGGCGTTCTTGCCTCCTGGCACAGGGTTTGAGATCGTCTTCACAAATGTCGACCATCTCGGATAGATGCCATCAGCTAGATAGTACCCCTTGTTGTAGTGCCGCCCATTGATCTCGAAGTTCACCGGAGGAGAATGACCTTCAACAAGCTTGGCGACGTAGTCGGAGTAGAGCATGCAGTAGCCTTCGAGACGATGCCGGTTCTTTGCTTTCACCCGCCCCGGCGCCGAGCCATGTCGCCGCGGCTTTTCATTGCTCGCCAGCAGCTGGGCGAGGGCGGCGAGCACCATGAGATGCTCTTCTTCCTGGACGTCGGCCTCGGCTTCCTCCTCCAGCAGCGCGGCGAGCGCTTCCTCGTCATCCGAGTCCATCGCCGAGGCAGGCAAATCGCTTGGTGGACGTGTCCCCGCCGCTAAACTGCCCCTCCGTGGCCGGAAACGGCGGGCGGAAATGCCCAGCTGCTGTTGGAGGGGCTACTGCGGCGAAGCTCTACTATTTTTCCGGCGTGGAATGCTATCTAGTGGTGAAAGGTGGCGGGCGGCGCCGGGATAAAGCTACTGGCGGCCGAGGGCGCGGGGGGGTGGGAGGCGAGTCAGGGAAGAAAACCTTGACTTTTCCCCTGACGGCGTGGGCCAGCCGCGCTTTTCCCTTGCACCGGAGCCCCCAACTGCCCCCAGTGCGCCGGGTTCGGCCTGTGACCGCTGGGCGAAAAAAAGGTCCGATCCGGCGTTTTTCGGCGTCCTGGGGGCGCGACTGGGCCGTTTGTTCAGCGCCGGCGCGGCAAAAACGCCTGAGAAGGGTCTGTTGGGGGCGCGGCTGGAGATACTCTTAGGAGCACTCCGGGTGATCTCT